CGTGCTGGGGTAACACCGGCACCTATGGTGGGCGGGATGCTGGGCGCGGTCCGGATACCGGTATGAGGGGGAGTGATGCTGGTGAGGGTGGCAAGTGGGGAGTGATGCTGGTGAGTTATGCCAGTGCCGATAACAGGGGGCCATGCCGGTCCCGGTATAGAGGGATGGTGGTGCCGGTGTGGGAGTGGTGTCGGTGCAGGTGAAGTATGGGGTGTGGCGGTGCCAGTATGGGGGGGATGCCGGTGCTGGTGCCGCTGTTGAGGGGCGGGGGCTTGCCGGTGCCAGAGTCAGTGTGGGGGGTATGCCGGTCCCGGTATGGGGAGGGTGCCGGTCCTGGTATGGGTGTGCCGGTGCGGGGCTGAGGCCGCTGGTCCCGCAGGTGCAGGAGATCGTCTTCAGGAACTTCTACACGGCGTTCCTGAGCGTGCGGGTGCAGCGGCCCGGCCCCGGCGGGTCCCGGCGCTGGGTGACGTGCCTGCGGGACCTGTGCCTGATGCCCTGCCCGCACACCGAGGAGGGCTCCCAGGACTACTTCTGCCTCCACCGGCAGCAGGTGAGCCCGGACCGACTGTGCCCGTGGCATCACCCTCCCCGCTGGGGCTCACCCCTCTTCACCCACGCCCCAGGATGGCTCCTGGGCCCGGAGGCCTGGTGCTGATGCCCCACCAACCACCACACCCACAGCAGGGTGGCAGGTCCTGCGATGCCATCCTGCCCCTGCCAGCCCCGCTCAGCAGCATGGGTCCCTGTGCCCCACTCAGCCCAGACAGCCACCACAGGGCAATGCTTCCCTCGGGCTCCTTCTGTTTGGGGTGGGTTGGGGGTTTTCTGGAGAATACCCCAAAAGCTGCCCCTAATTAGCACCAGTCCCTGTGGTGACACTCCCTGGCCCTTGCCCCACAGATGCTGTGTGATGTGGACCAGGTGACAGCCATGCGGTTTATCCTGCGACAGCCCTCCCCAGTCTGGCTCCACTTCACCATTGAGGAGCTGCAGATTTTCCCCCCTGGACAGAAGGTGAGCGGATGCTGGTGCTGCCCCACTGCCAGGTGTGGGCAGAGGGCCAGGACAAGCCACTATCCCCAGCCCTGTGCCTGGCATTGCTCTGCACAGCTCCAGGGAGCACACACAGGAGCGTGGGTCCGAGTCCTCGTCCTTCACTGGGGCACTTGGGTCCCCTTGTTCTCCAAGGATGCTGGGGAAGGGACTGCTCCAGCCAGCTCCAGCCCTGCCCTGTCAGAGGTGGTTGTTTGAGCAGCAGGATGGAACTGGAGGCTGCTGCATCAAGTTACAGGTTGCAAACAACTACTCCAAACACAAAATTCCCTTTGGTGATGGAAAAGTGACACTACATCCATAGCAATATCACTACGGGTGGGCTCCAAACCCCAGCACACTGCACGGTGTGAGGGATGAAGGTGGGACTGGGGACACCTTTGTGTGACCCTCTGGATCTGTTTCAGAGCCCGCAGAAGGATTTCCCCTCCTGGCTCTCCCAGCTGACCCCGCCGGAGCAGCCAGCCAGCCTGCATGGGGTGAGTGATCCCTGCTGAGGTACTGGGGGGAAGGAGGGACCTGTGTGGGGTGCAGACTGGGACCATCCCCATCCCTGCCCTGTCAGCTTCAGGCTCCCACCTGGAATAGCTGTGGAGCCCTGAAATAACCAACTTGTGCTGGAAGTAGTTTGCAGGGTTCAGAAGAAAAATATCTCCATGGGGATGTGCGATTTGAGGTGATGATTAAGTGCCTGCCCTCTAGTCTGGGGACAGGAATGTCCCCAGGGGAGCAGTGGGTGCACAGCAAGGCTCAGTAGCAGGTGGGACACGTGGGGATGGGAACAGGGACATCCCCAAGGGAGCGGTGGGTGCACAGTATTGCTCACCCAGCAGGTGGGAAGTGTGGGGACAAGGACAGAAACATCCTTGTAGGACCAGTGGGTGCACAGCATGGCTCAGCCAGCAGGTAGGATGCATGGGGACAGGGATGTCCCTGTGGCAGCGGTGGGTGCACATCATTGCTCAGTAGTGGGTGGAACGTGTGGGGACAGGGCAGCCTGGCTGGTCCCCAGTGCTTTGCAGAGGGTGTGCCCTGGGGAGCACGTATCCCATTGGGGACAGAACGCAGGCGGAGGGAGGTCACAGCAATGGCACGTGTTTACAGCTTGTCAGCCAGATCTGCCTGGCCTGTGGCCTTCGATGGGCAAAGTCCAGGCAGAGCAGGGCTGAGATGGGAGCTGGCTCATCCATGGGAACCTGCTGACTGAGCTGGAGGTGCTACCTGCAGGAGGGTGGCAGAGCATCCAGACCAGCCCGGGCAGTTCTGCCACCTGGCTTTGGTGCTGTGGTGCTCATACTGCACCACCAGTGAGGCTCCTGCTGGCCCCAGCAGGTCCGGGAGCCCTGGTTGCTGACCAGCTGTGTGACAGTTTGGGGAGAGCACCCCAAATTGCTTAGAACATGTTCTCGGCGAGGGGAGTCCAGGGGAGATGCCAGGGCTTGGCTATTCCCAGCATCACCACAGGGCACCCACCAGCCTGGTGCCACAGAGCTGTGCCCCAACTGGGAGAGCTGCTGCTGAGCCCACCAGTCCCACCTGGCTAAAGGTCCCCAGGTGAACCAGCACCTGGGACCAGGTTTCTGCTCCCAAACCCAGGGAGCACTTCATAGGGAGGCTGTTGGGAAACTGGACTGTATGATTAGGTTTTTAATCATTAGCCAGTGACTGGCTTTCTGTCCTCGTCCTCGCCACCTCCCAGCAGGTGGGCTGTGTCTGCACCACAGCACCAGGGATCAGGGTCACCCATTTCCCCATTGTTTTCCTAGAGAAGGGAGCCCTGCTCACCCCATGTTGGGAAACCACCAGCAGATCAGGAGCATGGACAATAGTGCCCAGCTCCCTGGGGAGCACAGCCATGCAGCCACACCACTGCCCCATCCTGGGGTGACCCAGCCCATTCAGGCCATCCCTTCTCCACAGCATTGTGATCACTTCTTTCCAGGAGCTCCCCGACCCAGAGAAGGTGTCGACAGAGGTCCAGCAAATGTGGGTGCTGACAGAGGTGATCCGGGCTCGCCAGGCAGCCGCCCGCATCGGGCGTTTTGACGTGAGTCCCCCACCCCACTTACGGGGACCCTGGCCTTGCTGCACGGCCAGGGAGCCCTCCTGGAGGGGCTGCTCCCAGCGGGATGGGGTTGGGGTGTCCCAGCAGGGACCGTGCTGTGCAGACACCGACAGCCCCTCTCTTTCCCAGGTGGATGGCTGCTACGATGTCAACCTGCTTTCCTACACCTGAGCCTGCCGGTGCCACTTGCTGGTGCCGGCTGGAGGGAAGTGCCCATCCATGCTCCCGGGGCCCAAGTGGACTCCTGTGTTCCCCGCCTTGGCCGTCGACCCTGCGGCCCCGAGGGGTCCCAAGCCCTCCCTGTGCCCATTCCCCGACTCCCCCTGCGCTGTCTGCCAGTGAGGAGCAGCGCTACCGCTCCCGAGCCCCCTGTGA